AGCTACCTAGCTATATTATTGCTCATTGTGTCAATGAACCAAGACTACTTTACTATCAAGTTATAAGGAATTTGGATCAACCATTAGATTCTGTTCTGGCCCACTATCTTCGATAATTTACCAGGCGATGAGTATTTAATTTGTTGAGAGGTAAAGCTTTTGGTGCCTTCGTTAATCAAGTAATAATTAAGGATTATTTGTATAGCGTGCAATATTCTGATAATTCTCAACTGTTACTTAAAGGGGAATGAATCATGGATTATGTATATGGAAGTATCCAGGTCTGTGCAAAGCGACATTTTAACGCATTAGTTAGTGGATGCCATGAGTGACCATTTGTAATTCTATGATACACTTCCACAAATATGTTTAAAGAAAAGAGAGGGAGAGAGAAAGATCAGTTGAATTAGGAAGCTGGATTGGATCCAGTCAGTGTATACAGAAAAGGGCGAGCGGCTAGCAGACTTGAAATTAAGATTCAATGTATCATATCATCTCTTGTAGAGAATCAACCTACTTATTGTACAAGTGCGTGGGTATTTAATACTCTGAGACTGCAGAAAATTAATGTAAATATGATTGGCTAAAAAACTTTGTTCACTGAAACGACAGTCATGATCAAGTAGGAATGTTTGACTCGAAGAGATGCCAATACCAATACCAATACCAATACCATTGCTATTTGCTTCAATTCAACACCCACAAAGCAATATTCCATTTGCATTCAAATTCTTCCATCTACCATCACCGTTAATTCAAGATAAAGAGAAACTCATCAGTCTTAGATGGGAATGCGTTGAAGCGACATCTTGGGAATCTTCAATAAGCATGATCATCAGAAAGGCTTTTAATTTTTATAGCCGTCAAGGAATTAATTATTTATATAATCTTACTGGGCAAATTTGCATTAAATAGATTGTCATAGTTAATGGGGTGTAAACTAAAGAGATAGAGCATATAATTTAAGATCTCTTGTGATATAAAGAATTACTAATATAAACCACCCCGTAAATTGCTATTGGTGGGCATCCATTTGATGGACCACATAAGAATTTATAAAAGTATTCAAAGTACACGATACCTGTGGATGAAGCTGAGCATCCAATTATTCCTGCTTATTATAACCAATGAACCGCAAAAGGCACTTGATGTGCCGATTATTAGGCTCATCTAACTTAATTAATATATGAAGTGGTCCTCATATTTCTTTCTGTTTTCAATGTTAACCCACAACATAAATAACCAACGACCCTTTAATTTCAGCTGACAGGCTGAATAGTGAAGTTTTTTTTTGAATGCCTTACTGTCTTCCTGATTCAAACTTTTTAGACCCTTAAGCTCAAAATTCATCCAAGGTAAACCAGAAGAGGTAGACGATTACACCAGCAACTTGTATTGAGCAGTCTTTCTAGAACAGGCCTGATAATATTATTGAGCCTACAAGTGTCAATTTGTAATACGTGTTGAGGGGGAGAATCTATCGTACATTAATATTAGACATATTGTATTAAAACTTCGTACTATAATAATGTTTTTATTTTTAAAATCATTGATTATGTCAGTTGTTGGATGAAAAACAAATACAGTTATACACATGATTAGTCCAACTAAGTGGGATATATATATAATTAGAAATTTCTATTATTATAGTTTATATTTCAGTTTTTGTAAAATTTCATAGACTCTCTAAATATTCTTACTCAAAATTAAGGTTTAACAAGTTTAAAAATCCATCACAAAACAGATTTCCATTTGGCCCACATGTCCAAAATGTGATAAATATTAAAATTAATTTTTGTTTTTCACCATTACAATCATTAGGGAATGTAAAAAGATTTTTTTTTTTTTTTTTAATAATCGAAGATATTTGGACAGTTTACGCATACCTCAACTAATCTTTCGAGACCCTAAAGTTATCGACCATGTAAGCCTCCAGTGGTCACTCCTATTAGCAATCAAGATGAATCGAACTCAAAACTTCTTGAGTAATATACCTAAGAGTCTTAATTGACCGCTCGACTGCCCAGTAATGATTAAAAGGAAATGTTTGTTTCCTCTGTTCATTGAATTGCAATATAAAAGATTGATTTAAGTTTAAAGAAGGTTAAGCAATAGGCATGTTCTGTTTTGTTACTTTGGTACAGTAGAAAACAGTTAAAAACCATCTTAATCCTTTAACGACCATTCGATTATCCTATCTTTATGGATCAAATTATAAAAGTTCCTTGGTTGGAAAGAAAAATTAAGTAAAGAAGCAAGGAAAAGTTGGGTGACAGTAAGCTAAGCACCAAAAATGGAATGAATTCAAAGGCCACACTCATTAATAACAATGAAGAAGAAGGGCAGCCAGTAATCAAGTAAAATGAATGTGTAGAGGCAAAAAGTATAAGAAGAAGAAGAAAACGTCATGACAGGGTGGAATTGATGTCATAAAAAAAAAACAAAAGAGAAGAGAAAGTTATAGACTATAGAGGCAGTCGTGGGTAATGGCAGTAGTGGTGGTGCAGCTATCATCAAATGTTTGAATGAATAGGCTATTAAAAAAAAAAAGATGAAAAGATAAAACAATGGGGACCAATCAACCCATGCGTGTGACCACAAACCCTTCTAAAATATACCCAACTTTTCTCTAATCAACNATATTCTTACTCCAAAATTAAGTTTTAACAAGTTTAAAAATCCATCATAAAACAGATTTCCATTTGGCCCACATGTCCAAAATGTGATAAATATTAAAATTTGTTTTTGTTTTTCACCATTACAATCATTACGGATTGTAAAAAGTTTTTTTTTTTTTTTTTAATCGAGGATATCTGGACAGCACACCTCAACTAATTTCTCGAGACCCTAAAGTTAACATTAGGTAAGCTTTTAGTGACTACTCCTATTAACAATCAAGATAAATCGAACTCAAGACCTCTTAAGTAATACATCTAAGAGTCTTAGTTGACTGCTTGACTACCCAATGATGATTAAAAAGAAATGTTCGTTTCCTCTATTCATTGAATTGCAATATAAAATATTGATTTAAGTTTAAAGAAGGTTAAGCAATAGGCATGTTCTGTTTTGTTACTTTGGTACAGTAGAAAACAGTTAAAAACCATCTTAATCCTTTAACGACCATTTGATTATCCTATCTTTATGGATCAAATTATAAAAGTTCCTTGGTTGGAAAGAAAAATTAAGTAAAGGAAGCAAGAAAAAGTTGGGTGACAGTAAGCTAAGCACCAAAAATGGAATGAATTCAAAGGCCACACTCATTAATAACAATGAAGAAGAAGGGCAGCCAGTAATCAAGTAAAATGAATGTGTAGAGGCAAAAAGTATAAGAAGAAGAAGAAAACGTCATGACAGGGTGGAATTGATGTCATAAAAAAAAACAAAAGAGAAGAGAAAGTTATAGACTATAGAGGCAGTCGTGGGTAATGGCAGTAGTGGTGGTGCAGCTATCATCAAATGTTTGAATGAATAGGCTATTAAAAAAAAAAAGATGAAAAGATAAAACAATGGGGACCAATCAACCCATGCGTGTGACCACAAACCCTTCTAAAATATACCCAACTTTTCTCTAATCAACCCAAGCAATTACTATTCTACACACAAACAATACTGCCTAGTGCCTCACTCCATAAGACACCTTCCTACCAATGCTGTATACATTAATTAATATCCCAATTTTTTTTCATTTTCCAATTCAATTAAAAGCACTAAACTGAATTAGGGTAGGTTGGACTAATGATTTTTGTTCGACTTTTTGTTAACCAAACTGCTTATGGAACTGTGTAATAAATTTATACCTACAGCCTGCTGGTCAAGACCTTTGAGCTATGATTCTTCTTTTTTCACTCTTTTTTTTTCTTTTTACTATAAACGCATCATATGTTAGAAGAAAATAGAAGCTCTTGAGGCCCAACCAGCAAGCCGATTGCAGCAAAATCTAGAGCTCGTGGCATAGGATAAAGAAAAACAGTGATTAGAAACTCAGAATACCGAGCCATATGCTAAAAGTGATTAGAAACACCTATAATTTCATTGTGTTCTGGCCATTATATATAATATATAGATATAGATGTTGCAATAGACAATATCTTACCTGAACCAAAATAATATATATGTTGTCTAATTCCCCGCCAATCATCAATGACTTTATCAAAATTTAACAAAAATGAGACAAATTTTGGAGTTGTTGGACAGTGATGATATCTCTCACTCAGCCTATATACCTCCAAAATTACAACAATGTGGGCACATTTCATAAAACTCAATTTTAATTGGTAAAATATTGAAGCATAAATCCCCATCTAGTGTTGATATGAATAATTAAGTTTATTGATATAAAATAGATAATGCCCTAATACCTTCCAAAAGGGAGATTGCGAGAAGGGGTAATGTAATGAATTCAAGTAACTGAAACCAAGAAACTAATGGAGAAGAAAGCCATAGTTAGCAGGGGAGAGAGAGAGATGGAGTGTGTTCCAAGACAAAATGATTACATGGTCTTGGGGAAGCAGAAAGGGTGGCGTGGAAATAGCCAAGAGTATGGAAGAACGTGGGGGCTTGACCGAGGTAAGGAAAATAAAGAGGCTAAAAATTAAAAGTATAGAAAAGGGTTTAGCTAAGCCTTTTATCATGATGATACTATCAGCCTTTTTGGTCTTTGGTCGGTCGACAATCTGTGTGTTGTGTGTTCACTGTGTTTGTTTTTGTGTTTCCCATCCTCTCTCTCTCTCTCTCTCTCTCTCTCTCTCCCACTGCATAGTGCATACACAGAGTGTAATTATACACTTTGAACCAATCACTAAGCAACATAAATTGTTATTTTAAGCAAACTACTTTGTGTATAAAAAATTAAAAAAGATCCTTCAACTCATCCTAATAGCTAAAGGGATATTGATGGATTGAGAATGCCGTAAGAAGAAAGCAAAGGAGACTAGCAGTACTTACAGGCTCTATATATTTAGAGTGGGGGGAAGGGGGGGTATTTGCAGATTCATCAGCTAACAAAAAAACAAACAAACCAAAAAGATAACAACAAAGCACCAAGGAAAGTTTAGTTTCAAGCAAAGGATAAAAAAAGGATCATCATCCACGCAAAGGCGTGGCAACCAAAAACAAAAAACCCTACAAAGTGAAAGAGATTGAGAAATATATCATCATCATTCAGAATACAGTCCAAGAGGTGTTTGGGTCTGGCTTTTCTTTCTTTTAGTACTACTACCACCACCACCACTGAAAAGTCAGTGTATCCACACATATTTATTACACATATCAAAGGAAGGTCTGTCTTCTTATGTTCTCTTTTACCATCTTTTTCTGTCTATAGAAAAGTCTATATCGACTTCCATATCCTTTCTTCTTTTGTTCTTCCTTTTCACTCAAGTAATTGATCAATATGATAACAACCTCTCCAACCAACTAGCGATACATATTGAATATTCTTGGTGTCTTGTTTTTAATTACAAAAGAAAGATGTGCGGATTGAAGGAAGAAGATCAAGGACAGTGTTCTCAAACTATTCATAACATTCAAGGCTATCAAGAACAGTTTTTTCTTCAGCAACAACTCATGCAACAGCAACAGCAACAACAGCAAAATAGTGATATGTATGGAGGAGGTACAGGAGGATTGATCTTTCCTGAAGCTTCACCCATCCTTCCATGGTCTTTCACTCAGGTTAACTCTTTCAACCCGGCTCACTACACCACCAACCCGGTTCGTGAACATGACCCATTTCTTCTCCCTCCTCCACCATCATCATACGGGAGTTTGGTCAACAGAAGAGCTCCCGCTCTACAGTTTGCATATGACGGTTCATCAAGTGATCATCTCAGGATCATATCAGATACTCTTGGACCAATGGTTCAAACCGGTTCAGCTCCTTTTGGTCTACAAGCTGAATTGGGGAAAATGACCGCCCAAGAAATTATGGATGCTAAGGCTCTTGCTGCTTCCAAAAGCCACAGTGAAGCTGAGAGGAGACGAAGGGAGAGAATTAACAACCATCTTGCTAAGCTACGCAGCTTACTACCCAGCACCACCAAAGTAAGTAATGATAAAAAAGCATAAAATTTTTCACAAAAATTAAAAAACCCGTATATTTCACGCGTACAACATGTTGTATATTATATAGGGTAGAGAGTATCCTATCCCTTTTATTTTAGTTCACTTTTTGTTTTGTAATATAATGGGCTTTTACATTCAAAGATCTCCTTAGATCTTTGGAAGATTCGACTTAGATGGTTGGTCTGATAATACAAATCAAAACCTACAATTTAGACATCAAAGGCAGTTACATTTCTGATTTTCTACACTTCTCTTTTTGTTTCGATCTCTTTTTCTTTTTGAAAAAAAAAAAAAAATGTTTGCTTTTGGTTTGTTCTGAGTATTGTGGTAGTTCCGAGGAGAAGAAAAAACGTAAAGGGTATAAGCGTTAATGTCGCTCCATTGATATGATAAAGAGAAACCAAGAAGCAGTTGAAAAGCTTCCATGGAAATTTCTTGCCGGTTATCAGTCAAACTAAAAGAAGAATGAAAAGAAACGAACACAGACAATCTAGCATTCTTGTCAGTCTATTCACTCTATATCGTTAAAAATGGAGTTTGAATCATCAACAGTGAGCTCTTCTTTTAACAAACTAAAACAACTTCAATACACAAAACAATATTATGTCCACGCGATGTAATGCACAAAATAACAACTTTACTTTTGTTTTGTTTTGTTTTCTCTTTGCCTTTGTGGTACTTGAATGCATTTTAATCGATACTTGTTTGAGACAGACGGACAAGGCTTCTTTACTAGCTGAAGTAATCCAACATGTTAAAGAGCTAAAACGGCAGACTTCTTTGATAGCTGAAACGAGTCCAGTACCGACGGAAATCGATGAGCTAACAGTAGATGCATCGGACGAGGATGGTAAGTTTGTAATAAAAGCTTCACTTTGCTGTGAAGATAGGTCTGATCTCTTACCTGACCTAATAAAAACCTTGAAAGCTTTACGTTTAAGAACGCTAAAAGCTGAAATTACAACACTTGGGGGCCGTGTAAAGAATGTTTTGTTCATTACTGGTGAAGAAGATTCAAGTAGTAGTGGTGAGCAACAGCAACAACAGCAACAACAGTATTCTATAAGCTCAATCCAAGAAGCATTAAAAGCAGTGATGGAGAAGACTTCTGGTGATGAGTCTTCTTCAGGGAATGTTAAGAGACAAAGAACCAATATCAATAACCTTGAACACAGGTCTCTTTAAATTTTCTTGTTATTATTATTATTTTTATTTTTTTTCCTTTTATTTGCGGGTGTGTTTTATTTGAAAATGTGTTTGTTTTGTGTGTTTCCATCGGTGAACAAGTAGGTTATGATGGTGTGTTTTGTGTACTTACATCAATCCCAAATAGGTGAAAGCAAAAGGGAGAGGTATAGAGAGAGAGGTGGAGTTGATAGTTTGTTAGGATTCCCATTTTGTTTTGGTTTTGCTCAGAGAAGAGTAAGAGTACTGCAGAGAGTACTAGAAAACAAACAAAATAAAACACAATGTGGTTGTGCAAATGGGATGAAACCCAGATTTTCTATGTTAGGTTTTGATATAAGGTTTCTCTTGGCACGAAAAAGATCTTCACTGTTTTTTTCCTTACTATCAAACTCTTTCTCTCTCTTTTTCAGTGTGTGAGTGTGTCGTTAGTTTGGTGGAATTTATTATGATCATCTTAAGAATGGTGACGTTATTGTTCTCGTCATGTAGTTTTTGTCGTCCCCACCCCGCCATGTCTACCTTCTTCCTATCTGTACAATGATGATGTTTCATGCCATTCCACTTCTGGTTGTGAGTTATCAAAAAATAAAAAAAAAACCCTAATGTGGCATTTATGCCACTGAAGTCTCAGAGTGACGAGATCAAGTGATCGACTACTGTACATAAAATATATTGTTGTATTTCACTTTCTTCTTTACTCTCCTCATGTCTGTATATTTCTGTTTCTTTTTTGTTTTTCTCTGAAGTTAATATAATTTCTGGTTAATTAAAGTTCGGCACGTAAATTTGGATGCAATGATCGATTCGATGCAGATTGCACGTTCGTTTAAAATGCTGGAATGATGCATTTTAATTAAAAGTCGTTATACATCTATATATATTTACACGCTGAGTATGCACCTTTTAGTACATACAATACAAGATCATAAACAGGTTTGGACAAAAATTTAAAAATAAATTTAGATGATAAATGATGTTGCATTTAAAGTTTGTGATGTTTTGTTACTATAAAAAAAATATATATATATATTACATCTATCAAATGAACAATTTAACCAGTTAAAATTATCATTTTGGGTTTATATATATTATATATGTTATAGTTTCATGTTGGTAGGAACATAATATAGATAGTAATATTAATAAATTACTATGGATGCATAGTGATAGGATATAGGTCTAACTCTAGAGTTTAGCCTCTGTAAAGATAAAACAGACTATGCACTCAGTTTGCTGCACCTATTAAGACCAGCCGAACAGATACCTTGTGTGTGTAGCACGTTTATAGTGTTGTCCTTTTCCTTTACAGAGCTAATTTCCAAATTTTTATCAATATTTAACCAGCTCCTTACCCTGAATTTAATTAAAAATTAAAAAAAAAAGGAAAGTATTGTGAAAATTATATTTTGGAGACATCCAATATTGGTCCATATATTTTGGAGAAAGCAAGAGTTAGATTTCATACTGTTGGAGTTTATATTTTTCTTAGCTGTTTGAATATAAGTCAACAAACTTCAAGGGCATTTTAGGCAGAAGGAGCAAAAAGTTTAGGAAATGCGTAGTTTGTAGATCAGTCTCATTGGTACGAGTATTATATTCACAATAAATACAATTAAAATCTGAAAGAGGGTAATAATGGCACATATACGACTTTTTTCGGTGATTTATTGTTTTATATTGACTTTTTATTTAGGTAATTTACACTTATATCCAATCATCAATTTTCTCTTACAACTCCGTTGTGGTACCTCGCAATTGATCGGACAATTAAAGTTAATTTAATTCTTATTGTCAAAAGATTAAGCCTGAATTTTAAGTTTTTTATGGGTGATTACAGCCTTTTTGGCAAGGTTTTCTTCTCTGATTTGAGTGACTTTTTTAATAACTAGAAAATTGTGACTATCTCAGAAATTGTAAAGAAGATGGTATCTTTACAGTCTCACCACCTAGATACTTTTCTCCGCTTAGTTTTTGTAGTAAAAATTAAGTAAAGATAAGATATATAATGACAAAGTACATGTTTGAAAGGGACAAGATGAGAATTTAAAATAATCCTTGGTGTATTTCTCAAACTTCAAATTTAAATGATCTTTTAAGACGCTAGTAAATAAATTACTATATACTTTGTGACTTGTGAATAATCTATTATTTTACAAGAAAATGTATTAAATTGTAGTTACCTATATATACATATCTGTCAAGGTAAGGAGATAAGTGATCTTAAACCCCATCAAGTAATTAATATAAACAGAGAATTATGTAATAATAAGAATATAAATATAATTAAGAGATTGTGGAATTATGTAGGATCATGGTTACATCACTTTAAAGTTTCGGTTTTAATTTCAGTTTTTGGTTTGGGCTGACGCAATTGGGCTAACACTTACGAATCCGAAGTTCAAGGCTTGGGCTTGTCTTGAAATAACTCCCGGCACAAGCCCAAATGGAAATGGTGGCCTGCAAGACAGAGCGAAGTTAGGAAGAGCCAGCAACTTGCTGGCGTGCCTTCTTTGATACTCAAGTCACTTTCATGCTAATATATTAGTGCACGAGGTTACAAGGTTGACAGCTTTGGATTTTCTTCCTTTGAATTAGTTTTCTTTTTGTCCTTTGTCCTACGAGTATCTTGAGGATTTGTCTTCAAGGATAAGCCATGTTAATATCCAATTGGATTAGTTAGCTTGCCTTCTAATCTATGGTTGTCATATGAATCTTGTTTTCTCGTATGTATACCTTGTTTGTTGAGGAATGGATTCTGACCAAAAAAAAAAAGTCACTTTCATAGTATCATTACGAAGGTTTAAATGAATTATTAATTCTTTAGATTCAAAGGATTTGAAATGTTTTTTTTCTCTCTTTTGCCCGGAAAAGTGCTAGGTTTTGAGTGCATGTGTCTTGTTCAGAACAAGATCTTCCTTCTTTATTTATACTTGTAGACTCTTGGGAGATATGATAATGTGTAAGAGATCAAAACAGCGATTTCTCACCTTTCCTAAATTTGGCAAGCCAGTTCACTCTTGTTCTTGACTGATCCCAAGTTCCCAACCTTNAGTGATAGGATATAGGGTCTAACTCTAGAGTTTAGCCTCTGTAAAGATAAAAACAGACTATGCACTCAGTTGCTGCAGCTTATTAAGCAACAGCCGAACAGATACCTTGTGTGTGTAAGCACGTTTATAGTTGTTGTCCTTTTCCTTTACAGAGCTAATTTCCAAATTTTTATCAATATTTAACCAGCTCCTTAGCCCTGAATTTAATTAAAAATTTAAAAAAAAAAAAAAAAAAAAGGAAAGTATATGTGAAAATAATTATATTTTGGAGACATCCAATATTTGGTCCATATATTTTGGAGAAAGCGTTAAGAGTTAGAATTTCATACTGTTGGAGTTTATATTTTATTCTTAGGCTGTTTGAATATAAGTCAACAAACTTCAAGGGCATTTTAGGCAGAAGGAAGCAAAAAGTTTAGGAAATGCGTAGTTTAGTAGATCAGTCTCATTGGCCTAGTTAATAAGTACGGATACGGCAAAAAAAAGGTACGAAAATTTTACTAGTATAATACGATAAATTATGAAAATTACGTTTATAAAAATTTGGTCATAAAATTCAGATACGAAAAAAAAATGGTACAGGTATATACGGGTTTAATACGACACATTGTCAATATATAATACATTTTGAAAAATACGGAAATTCTTAAGCATATGTTATATATTTTATTATTATTATTTGTACGTATACAAGGTGTAAACTAAAGGTGGAAAAGTAACCCGCCCGGCCCGGCCCGCGGTGGGTTACAAAGGTTGGCGGGCCGGGTTAGGCCCGCCATTTTGGAGAAAATGGCTGGCCCAGCTCGGCCCGCCGGGTTAGGCGCGGTCCGGGCCGGGTTAGCCCGATTTTTTTTTTTAATTTAACTTTTCAAATAAATATTTATAAATATAATTGTTTTTAGTTAACTTTTCAAATACCAATAATTTAATTCAATTCAATTTTTTTTTTTTTTTTTTTAACATTTCAAATATTAATTCAATTTTAATACAACAAAATTGTAATATAAGAAAAATTAGACTTATTCATTTATCAAAAAATAAAATAAGAAATTACAACAATTATTGCCTCGTTAAAAACCTCACCAAGAAAAACCCAATGGGAGAAAAACTTGGTAAAGAAAAAAGAGTGCAATGATTGACAATTAATTTACAAATTACATTTTACAAAATAACTAATTTGGGGGTGGTTCACTAGGACCTCCCTCATCTGTATCATCCATATTACAAAATTGAAATGATTCTACTAAAGTATTGTCGATAACCTCGTATTGATCTTGATGGCGCGATCGTTCCCAATCTCGAAGACATGTGAGGACTTCAATCATTTTTGGAGCAAGTTTAGTCCTCCTTTCATTTAAAATCCTTCCACTTGCACTAAATGTTTGTTCGGATGAGACGGTTGAGACAGGAACAGCGAAAACATCCAAGGCAAGTCTTGATAATACCGGAAAAATACATTTTCTGGCTCTCCAATACTCTAAGATATCAAAGTGACCTGTTGAAAACATTTCGGGGGTTGCCAAATATTGTTGAAGTTCATTACTCTGCGACTCCATGGAGGACAGCATATTAGTTGTTGTTGTTGTTGGTGGTGGTGCTTCTGAAGAGGAGGCTGTGCTTCGGATTCGGGTCCTCTTCGGCCTATTCAGTGCATTCCAAGAGTATAAGTCTTCATTTGTTGTTTCTTCTGCTACAACTTCTCTGGATATTTCGCCTCTTTGCGACTGCGGGTTCCCATACCTGTTTTCATATTGGAAATATACTTCGAAAAGACTATTTTTTACCTCTCCTATTTGATTGACATATGATTCGGTTTGTAAATTTTCACTTAAATTGTCAAAACCATTTTCTAAACGTGCTAATTTAATTCTAGGATCAAATATAGCACCTAAACAATAAAGAAAAGGAATGGGTTTCCAATATTTCAAAAAAAAAATTTCCATTGCCTTTATTGGTGCATTTAAAATTTCATTGTCTTTGTTTTTTGTAAATAACTCGGAAATTTTTATAATTGTATGTATTACCAATGGACTAGTAGGATAATACACACCAGAAAGTTGTAAAGTGGCTTGGTAAAAACATTTGAGAAAAGAATGAAATACTTTAGCTATCTTCCAATCATTTTCTACCAAATGATGAGGACCTCTATTATTTGCTACAAAATAACTAATTATATTAGCATAAGGTAAACATGAATCAAGCATTAAATAAGTACTATTCCATCTAACAGGCATATCTAATGCAAAAGTTCTAGGAGACATATTTGATTTTATACAAGCTTCTTGAAATTCAGCATTTCTTTTATTACTACTAGTAATCCAAGCTAAAGATTCCCTAATTCTATCAATATTTTTTTTAATTGTTTTCATACCACTTTTCACAATTAAATTAATAACATGACATGCACAACGTTGGTGAAAAAACTTCAAATTATTATATAAAAGATAATTATTTTGAAAAAATTCTATAGCTTTACTATTAGAACTTGCATTATCTAAAGTTAAACTTATCACTTTATCAATAATATCATAATCTTCTAAA